CCTGGCCGTCGGAAATGATAGCTCAATGAACTGGCTTATCGTCATCACGTGGATAGTTATAGAAGCCAAATAACTGTAAAATGCGTGGTGTTGATTGTGAACGTGGCGGGAAACCCGGAGGACCCGGAGAAAAATCCACGCGACCACGTGGTGAAAGAAAGAAACGAAAACCCCAAAAAGACAGCAGGCGTCAAGGTCGGGATTGAACCCACAACCTCGTGAATATCAGGCGAGGTAGTTAACATCTCACCACCGTAGCAACCAGATGGTGGAGGTGGGGGAAATTATTAGAGCAGAGCTTGGAGGTGTGGCGTCAACTGTGCAACAACTGTAAGGATATGTCAGAAATAAGAAACGGTAAATTGATAACAAAGATCATCTCCTTTGCTCAATCTAGATTTGAAGTTTTTCGTGACTGCAGGGATCCATACTCTTTGGTTCTTTCGGTAAAGTCACGTAGGTATAAAATAAAATGGCCTCTTGTTGCAGCAGCCCCTTTTGCCCACTTCAGCAATTGTTTCTTGCTGTGGTTGTCCCACCTGATGACGGACGCTTGTGTTGCGCCCGAAACGTCGTGATTTAATTCATTTTATACCTACGTGACTTTACCGAAAGAACCAAAGATTTGTATCTTTTTTGCTATCATCTCCTTTAACATCAAAATAATAATCGTCATCATGAACATCACTACCATCATCACCACTACCCGTCACCATCATCACGACTCGCATCAACATTAATCACCATCACAATCATCATCATCAGCACTTTCACCACTCACATCAACATTAATCACCATCAATACCATCATTATCAGCACCATCACCACTGACATCGACAGTGATCATGATCACTGTAACCACTTTTGGAGCGAATCTAAAGCCGGCGATTACTTAATCGGGGGAATCATTTCCTCCGCGTCACGTGGTCTCGTCCTAGCTTCGATTGTCCGTTCCCCCTCCTCCTTGCATACAAAGTGAGAGCCAAGAGAGAGGCGAGCGAGTGACTTCTCGTGTCTGTGTGTGCTGGTGTTGGAGACAGGAGAGAGAGACAAAGGCGGACGTGGGAGCATGGACACACTCTGCTTTGCGCAGCGCGTGATGATAGCCGTCCTGCTGCTGCTCCTCTTGCCTGCAACTCTGGGTGAGTTCGCTGTCAGTTTTTCAGGTGTCGATTTAAAGACAAATGCCCTATTCACCGTAACCCTCGCTTCAGGTGTGTTGCGTTGTGTGGGGTCGCATCTGCACAGGGATTTTGTCAACCACACCAGACGGCCTATTCGCAGAACTGCGTACCTTAACTACTTACCTACGGAGTTGTCTTGTTACCTACCCAATCGCTTGTGTGCCTGCCTACCAGATGGAACTAACGTGTTGACTACCTAGCCTGGTATACAGGAGGTCGTGGGTTCGATCCCGACCCTGAAGCCTGCTGCTGTATATTTGGAGTTTGCGTCTCTCTCTCTCATCATCACGGTGGTTCGAAGATGTTAACTACCTCGCCTGGTATGCAGGAGGTCGTGGGTTCGATTCCGACCCTCACGCCTGTTTTATATGTGGAGTTTGCGGTGTCTGTCTTTCTCCCCGTGGTCGCGTGGATTTTTCTCCAGTTCCTCCGGGTTTTCCCTCCACATTTAGAAACGTTGTGCTCCGAGGAATTTGGATGCTATAAATTTCCACGTTATAAGCCACTTCATTGGGCTATCATTTGTGGCCACGTCGCTTCTGAAAACGAGCTGTAATGCTCGAGTGGGTCTTCACTGGTGAAATAAAATAGCAGTTAAATAGTTACAATAGTTTTCACTGAAAAAATAAAATAAGGTAAAAAAACTAGTTTTTCAAAGCACACACTTTTATTTGCACTCAAAAGTAGAGAATACATTATTGTGACCCTAAAGTTGATCAAATTTGATGTGTGGAATAAAAGTGGTTGGCTTGCATAAAGAAAAGCAAAAATGGAAAGGAAGCCACTCACTTATATTCAGCACATCAAATTTGATCAATTCTGGGGTCAAAATAATTCATTTTCTACTTTTGAGTGTAAATAAAAGTGTGCATTGAAGAACTAGGTTTTGACCTGTTTTTTTTTAATCTCGTGCTTCGTTAGAGGAAGTGAACGGGCCAGATGCGGGGGTAGGGACGCAGAAAACGGACATGGCAGTTGCGTTTTTATTCGTGTAAAATGCCACACGTTGACTAATTTCCTCTCGGTTTAACCCAAGTCTTGATCTAAAATACAGAAGCAGACACTTACGCCTCCTTCGCAGTTTTGAAATGTCCCATCAATCTTGATTTGAAGCTTTCGTGACTGCAGGAATCCATACTCTTTTATTCTTTCGGTAAAGTCACGTAGGTATAAAATAAAATAAATCACGACGTTTCGGGCGCAACACAAGCGTCCGTCATCAGGTGAGAAAGCATGGCCCGCTGCTGAGAGAGACACGCAAACTCCAAATATACAGCAGACGTCAGGGTCGCGATGAAACCCACGAGGTGAGGTAGTTCACATTTCGCCGCCGTGACCGCCATCACCGATGTTGGCAGTGAGCAGGAATCGAATTCGGGCCGCTGGGTTCGTAGCGAGTGTGCTAACCGCTACGCCACGACTTCCTCCTGTATATACAAAGATCCCCCGTATATTCCCGAATAGAATGTTGAGGCAATTGCTGTTAGCGAGCACCTATTAAGGCCCTGCAGCACATGAGGCTTTGGGTGGCCTGACCCACGCCTGACTGCCTTTGTCTCTACACACACACGGTGCGTATACAACGAAAAGATAAAGATCCCCTGTATAGCTTTAAAACTGTTTTGGCAAGTGCTGTTAGCGAGCACCTATGAAGGACGTCACAGCACACGAGAGGGTGGATGGCCAACTCGACGCTCAGCCACCTTTTTCTCCCGAGTTGCAGTGGTGTTACGCATCACACCAGGCACCCTGTTGCGGCTGATTCGAACTAGGGGTGGCCAGGAACAGTTCAGATGATCGTCACTGGTGTTGGCCATGAGCGGGAATCGAACCCGGGTCACGGGGTTCGTAGTGCAGCACGCTAACCGTTACACCACCACTCCACATGTGTATACACGCTAATGTAGGTATGTTTAACTTAATTCGCACCATACTATCCAACCGCCCTAATAATAGGTGCGGGGGAAGGACAACAAACTAATACAAAAAGGTTGTTATAAAGAAATGAGTTTTCAATCTAAATAAAAAAGAATGAGTACACAGCTGACAACTGATAGGTCTGTTAGGGGTACACCGAGGTTTCTCTATTGAGTCCACGTGCTACCTTAACGTAAACATTTTTTATTAATTGAAGACAATAAGTGACAGGTTTGAAGTTCGTCAGCAGTTTTTTTTTTATCTTTCTTCCTTGGGATGGAAAATGTCGAAAGATGATGGCTTGCTGAATGTGACCAGAGCAACGTGCTACATGTTTAATACATTATTTGGTGGTGGTGATGCTGCTGCTGCGTTGCACAAGAGCAGATAAAACACCAACGTCTTAGTCGCACTCAACAATAAATGTATGTGCTATAGAGGACGCCCATTGCCTGACACGTCTGGGTTTGTCCCATGACCTCCTGCTAGCTGCGAGCTTTAGAAACTTTACGTGATTACCTAAAAGTTGCACCTGGCCTGGCACAAACGCAGTGGTGACGTCACCGCCACTTCGTGGTGAATGGCGGTTGTAATGTGCTGGCTGAAAGCACTTGTCCCAATACCCTGTGTAGGCTACACGGGGGATATATGTCTTTATGTATATGTCTCTGTGTATATGTGCGTGTTTCTTTGTGTACATGTTTTCGTCTTCGTGTATGTCCTCGTGTGTGTGTTTATGTCGTGTGTATGTGTATATGTCGTTGTGTGTATGACCTTCGTGTTTATGTGGAAATGTCTTTGTGTGTATGTCTTTGTGTGCATGTGTATATGTCTGTGTATATGAGTGTATGTCTTCGTCTCTTAATTCTAGATTTGAAGCTTTCGTGACTGCAAGGATTCATACTCTTTGGTTTTTTCGGTAAATTCACGTAGGTAAATTTTTTTTATAAATAAATAAAAACAACTAAATTAAATCACGACGTTTTGGGCGCAACACAAGCGTCCTGCTTCAGGTGGGGACAACGTAGCGAAAGCGCAACCGCTTAAGTGTGTCTCAGAGATGGCTGTGACGAGGAGTTATATATAACTTAGGTTAGGGTTAATTTTATATAACTCCTCGTCACAGCCATCTCTGAGACACACTTAAGCGATTGCGCTTTCGCTACGTTGTCCCCACCTGAAGAATGACGCTTGTGTTGCGCCCGAAACGTCGTGATTTAATTTAGTTGTTTTCATTTATTTTATTTACATTTTTTACCTACGTGACTTTACCGAAATAAACATAGAGTGTGTCTTCGTCTCTTTTCCTGTGCAGGTGCCCAGAGTATTACATCGGAGATCGACCACGACAGTGAAGCGTCCAGTGGGAGCGGAGGAGACGTGCAGCTGCGCTGCGTCTACAAGGGAAGCGTGATCGTCAACCAGATAATATGGGCGAAGGAAACAAATCAAGAGCGTGTGTACATAGCAGTTCGCCTGAATGATATAAGTATTGTGCAGGATGATAAGTTAAAAGGGCGCCTGACTTTCCTTGGCCACGGAAACAACGATGCCACCATCTCAATCCGCGCGCTGCGTACCTTGGACAGCGGCACCTACATCTGCAGATTCACGACAACAACACAAGGGACTAAGGAGGCGAAGATCAACCTCATCGTGGTCGGTGAGTTCAATCGGTAGCGAAGTGGTTCGTTTTGTTGACGAGGTTAACGAGAAAAGAAATTGGTTCAGGTCGTTGTTTCGAATCTTTGACTGAGGCCACAGGAGGAGGAATCCGATGAGCTATAAAGCTCTTCATTTATAAACGTCCAGTAGGGGTGGGCCAGACGACCTCCTGTATAGCAGGTGAGGTAGTTAACATCTCGCCACCGTGGCAACACCCTCCTGAAAATAGGGTATTGAGACTCAGCGAGGCTTTCCTGCATAAACAAACATCATATAAATAATAATGACACTTACATCTGTTGAATAAAATAAGAACATACTGTGCTCTTATTCTTAGATTTTTTCGGTAAAGTCACGTAGGTAAAACATCAAAATTAATGAAAATAAAATAAAATAAAAACAAAAATCACGACGTTTCGGAGGCAACACAAGTCTCCATCATCAGGTGGGACCGTCACAGCCAGATTAGCTGCATCAAGTGAGGCAATGATTCAAGATGTAATCCCTTAAAATCGAGTTGAGGGGGGAGGAGAGGGAGGGGGGAGCTCATCAGAATATGGTAGCCAATGAGTGGAACGTATCGGGAGGGAGGGGGGGCGGGGCCCCGCCCCCCCTCATATTCTGATGAGCTCCCCCCCCTCTCCTCCCCCCTCAACTTGCTTTTAAGGGATTACATCTTGAATCATTGCCTCACTTGATGCAGCTAATCTGGCTGTGACGGTCCTACCTGATGACGGAGACTTGTGTTGCCTCCGAAACGTCGTGATTTTTGTTTTTATTTTATTTTATTTTCATTAATTTTGATGTTTTACCTACGTGACTTTACCGAAAAAACCTAAGAATATGATTCCTTGCAGTCACGAAAGCTTCAAATCTAGAAATACTGTGCTCTGCCACAAGAATGTGGAATATGAAAGTGGGGCACGGGGTCAGCGCGTTACAACAACAACAACATCGACAGGAGTGCAAAAATAAGAGAAAAAGGGTGCACAAGTCACTAAATAATAAATATATAAAGTATATAAGTCCGATTTTCCAACACCAATATGTAACAAATAAGAGTGGCTGGCTACACTAGTGCTGCCATGCCCCAGGCTGTGGGAAGCTTTTCCCCAACAACATCTGGAGCCCTGACTCTGTCGGTTCTTTTAAAACAACCCCTAAAAGTGGGACTGACACGGCAACAGAGCCTTTTATTTAGGACTTTAAAGATAGCGGGCCAGGAAAACGACATCGAGTTTCGTGGAAGAATCGCGACCCCCCCCCCCCCACGCCTCCCCCATACTCAACGGGTGAACTCATTCAGGCACCAATCTTAGCAATGGAGCCATCTCAGCGAAAAGCTCAGACAAGGAAGAAGAATAGAACACACGTACATGGGGTCCATTCCTACAACCTTAGACCAGTCTTAAACACCTGAGCCTGAGATCAGGCTTAACTACCTGAGCCCAGAACGGCAATAACCTAGCCGTCCAGAGCAGTGGTACCCATTTCAATGTATCTCAAGAGAGAGTGTCAGAATAGAGAGTGAGTGTGTGTAACTATCTAAGTCACCCGGGCCACCTGGTCTAAGCAGAGTTGTGGCAGCAGATACCTGGATTCGAATTTTAATCCCAGGCTCTCAAATGATGCCGGCTGAGTGTCTACGAACCCTCTGGGTACACCCAGCCACTTCATCTTTGGGGGTTTATTTTAACATTTTTCTTTTTTTTAAACGTGACCCCTGGAAAATACCATCCTGAACGTCAGGATGTTGCAATTTAATGATGTGAGGAGGGATGGGGATTAAAACATTTTTTTATATATATCTGTTGAACAATCAACCCTTAAAAGCTTATTTTTATTCAAAAGCTTTTTAAAAAAAATTCTGGACTTCATTGATATCGTAACAAACATTTGTAATCTCGGATTGAAGTTTTCGTGACTACAGGAATTACTATACTCATTGGTTCTTTCGGTAAAGTCGCGTATGTAGAAATAAAATAACTGTGTATTTGGCTGACTGGATTGCATCGCATTATATTTCTAAGGTTTGCTGAGTTCGCGTCTCCCATCTTCTTGCTGTATTTGCCTCCGTGCAGTTTGCCGTTCTCGGTGTGCTCTGTGTGTGATGTCCCTCTGTGTGTTCCCTCGCTGTGTGGTTTACGCCATTTTCACCTGAGGGTAAGCGCTTGTGTTGTGTTCGAAACGTCGTGATCTATTTTAATTTTATTTTATTTCTACATACGAAAGAACCAATGAGTATACACATTCGTAACCTTTTTTATAGTAACTTTCCTGGCTTCCACCAATAATCAGTTGCCTATATATTTTTCATTTCGGTTTTATCTTTTGGTTTTATTGTTATTGTGATTGGGGTTTTCCAGGAGTGTCAGTGTCAACATCGTTAATTTTTAACACATGCAACGCTTTGAGATTACTCATTTTAAATGTGCTTTATAAAACTAAGTTAATTATATTATTATAATCCACAGCCCTAGTCAGGGTGGCAATTACCAACTCGAATCGGCATTGAGAGGCTGTGCTAATCTCCAGTCTACAGTGGCGAAAAAATCCACATTTTGATGGCAGGGCTGCGTTTGTCCACGGGACAACCACCATTGACTCGCCCACAAAGTGGTATTTGTTGTATCGACCCCCAAGGGAATTGTGGGCTGAGTGAAACCCACAATCAGGTTTGGAACTCGCATCCTTTCAGATCACCAGCCGCTCCACCACCGAGCCACCTGGCAGTAGCCGACGACAACGATGACTATGATGATGACGACGACGACGAGAACCCAGACACTGTGCTCATGACCTCCGCCGCCTTGCGTCGCCATTGTTTCAGTGACGCCAGAGGTGAGGTTGGCGTTGGGCCCGGCTCCCCTGGTGTCCGGTGGCAGCAAGTCTCAGCTGGCGGCGACGTGCGTAGCGGCCAACGGGAACCCCGCGGCGAGGGTGGCCTGGACCCTGAAAAACGTCTCGGGAAGCCACTTTGTCTTTGAAGCCCTGAAGGATGACGCGGGCACCATCATCGATCACAAAAATGGCTCCATCAGCGTGATGCGGGAGCTGCGGTTGGAGCCGACGAAGGAGATGAACAAAGCGTCGCTCGTGTGCATCGTGACGCAGCCTGGGAACGGCAATCGGATCGAGAAGATCGTCGCTCTCAATGTGCACTGTGAGTGGTGTTTCCCACCGTGCCGTGGTGCCTATGAGATGTTAACTACTTCGCCTGGTATACAGGAGGTTCTTGGGTTCGATCCAGATCCCTGATGCCTGCTGTATATTTGGAGTTTGCGCGTCTCTCTCTCTCTCCTCCCGTGGTCGCGTGGATTTTTCTCCGGGTCCACCGACTTGTCCCCTCCACATTTAGAATCAACATCATGCATTTAAGTTATTTGGCTGCTATACATTTCCATGCGATGATAAGCAACTTCGTTGAGCTATAATTTGTGATAGCTAGGTTGATTCTGAAGAAGAGCGATTTAGCTCAGTGGGTCTTACCTGGTAAAATAAAAAAAGATTAGTTTATAGTTTTTACAGAGTATTCGTAAGCACAAGACAATGTACCACTGCATACGGATAATAAGGGGTAAAGGCACAGCCCTGTAATTTCTTCCTCACACCACTATTGATAGATGGTCCTCCCTCCCACTCGAGAGAAATTTAGCCTACTCTTCCACACAAACCAGATGACTTGGAAGAGGTAGGGGTACCCAAACTTAATCCCCGCGTTTGAATACTGCTAGGGACCCCTAGTGGCAGCTGTCCCTATGTGGCTCAAGGTGTATGCAGTGATGACCTACAAATGATAAGTCTGCCAGTACTGGGCAATGATGTCGTTTTACGCTTAAGATGTACCAAGTGTTTTACCAGCCCTGACAATGGGTCAGTTTTTAAAGCTCCACTTAAATCTATGTATATTGAACTTTTTTCGTGCAACGTACGAAGCCAACCATGCTAAACGAAGGTGCGGGGGGGAAGGACAACAAACACCAAAGAGCTGTTTTAAAGAAATTAGTTTTCAATCTAGATTTTAAAATGCATAACTCCAGTGGATTCCTATTATCAGAAGGAAGAGCTTTCCAGACGACCACAGAAGCAAATCTGAAAGCGCGGCGATGCGGTGACCACCATCTTTGTTCGATGCCTAGCCAAAAGTCACTGCTGCGAAGATGACCACTGGAGTTAACGTGATCATGGTTTATGCTCCTTGACGAAATCAGCGAGGTATTGTGGTTCCTTTGTGGAAAGCACTTTGTGTGTGTAATGAGTGCGATCTTTTAATCATGTATTCGTTGTCAGCAACCGGAAGCCAATGCAGCTCCGCGAGCACTGGACGGACATGCAGTAAATTATAATAACAAAAAGAATGTAGCAAATCGTTGGTGCTAGCACCGTTTATGATGAACAGGATCATCACATAGGACGGCGCGATGTTTCACAGAAATAGTCTGCGGTAGTTTCAAAGTGGGGGGGCGGGAGGGGGGGGTGTTATTACTGTGTTTGTGGAATCCCAGTTGAGCAAATTTGCAGGTAAATTTTTGTGGTCCAAATTTGGCAAATTCAAAATCAGAATATTTCTACTCGAGGAATCCGATGAGCTACAAACCTCTTTTTCGCAGGTGTCCAGTACAGGGCACTGGGTCAGAACGTTTACAACAACAAACAATAACAAACAACACGGAAACACGACAGGAGTAGTAGTGACGAGGGAAAGTTTGTGTATTCTACCATTTGCAGACAAGCCGGAGGTGACAATCAGTGGAGTCACTGGCCCCATGCAAGAGGGAAGCGCCAAGGTCACTCTCACCTGTCTTGCCGATGCCAATCCCAGCGCCAAGTACTCGTGGATGAGGTGAGGGTTCTGATGTGTCGGTAACGTTGCCACCATGTCGTTTCTCACGATGCGACCTGATACGGTGGCTAGATGTTAACTACCTCGCCTAGTATACAGGAGGTCTGGGTTGGATCCCAACTCCGGACGCCTGCTGTGTATTTGGAGTTTGCGTGTTCTCTCTCTTCCCGTTGTTGCGTAGATTTTTCTCCGAGTCCTCCACATTTAGAATCGACATGACGCATTTAGAGTTATTCGGCTGATGTAAATTTCCACGTGATTATGATGAGCCACTTTGTCAGGCTATCATTTGTAATTGCCGGGTCACTTGGGAAAAAGAGCTACATAAACACAGATGTGGCCTTATCTGGTAAAATATAGATAAATATTTTTAAAAAATAATTAAAGAATAGTAAACAAGAATTGTCAATACGACATCGGGTTTTCACGACATGACGGTTATGGTGATATTTGCTCTCCGGTCCATTTTTCAAGGCGTACCATACATGGTGCATCGTTCGCTCCGATGTCTTGCCTTTCGCTCCACGTGCTACACGGCACAAACCGCAAAAAACCCCACGCAGTCGGAGTGTTTCGCGATAGGTTTTTCCATGACCGTCTGTTCTATAACGACAGTAGTAGTAGTTGTGTTCCTGAAGAACGCCACATTATATGGAACAATCACGTCATAATAAATATGTAATTTAGGGGGTAAAGCACAGTCCGCGATAACGCGTGAGATGTGTGACGCAGGGCCGAACAAAGACTGGAGGTGCATGGGTAGAATCTAAAAGCATCCAGCATGATCCCAATGCCTTGGGCGATGATGATCCTATGCCCAGGCAGCCGCGCAACTGCTTATTCAATCCCGTTATGTCCGATTCGCGTTATGAATTTTTTTTCCAGGCGTGGGTGTATTTTGTGTTTTTTTACTTTTCCGTGCTTCAGAATGAATGAGGATGATTTAAACATTCATCCCAACTGCAGGTTATGCAAACATTAAGTCGGCCAGAAGTCGTGGAGTTCTGAGCTGGCAGTGCAGAAATCCCTGCGTTGGAATTCCAAGTTTCAGCCACGGTACCCGGGATTTAAAGTGGGTCATTCAAGTGTAGCGAGTTGACGATCTCAGCCCCGTTCAGTGATGACCGCACCAAAAAATAGTACGTTTAAAAAAACAATTGAACACGAAACGTCAAGGTCTACTCGAATTTTTAAATTTCGTTGTGGGTTTTACTCTCTAAAATGCATATGGTTAGTGCCGAGCTAGTAAACTAATTGGCATGTTCTGTTTACGTGTCAAACCCTTACTAAATTGGCTGTGTCGGGTGGTGGCGGGTTTAACGACACATTTATACCTATGCGATCTAACCCAAAAATAACTTGTATTATTAAAAAATTGATTGTGAAATTTGATTTGGATAAATTCCAGCTCCTGAGAATCAAAATAATGTGTCTGTTCCACCGTCCCGCGCTACGAACGTTGCTCCCAAGTGGCACGGCGGCTGGGGGAAGTGCTGACTGCGCGAGCGTCCAGAGGTCGCTCGAAGGGCATCTTGGAGGAAGCTCTCCGACGTCCTCTTACACGGATCGTTCTCTCACGCGATGGGGGGGGGGGGGGGGGTGGTGCTGGCACTGCTCCGTCAGATTTTCGAACGGCTTCTTAATCTCACGCCACGACGCCGGGGTTTGTTGTCCAACTTCGTCCAATACCCCTGCACCTCCGATTTAGCCACGGTTGGTTATGTACTGTGGGAAAGAAGTTAAACATGCATACATAACATACGTAACAACAGACATACAACATATATACATGCACAATTGAGATACAACTGTGCAGGGAGGGGGATTGGGCGGAATGTTACAAAAATGAGTTTCTGATGTTATTACTTCTGTTGTGTTGTTGGTGTGTTGTGTTTTGCAGGAATGGTACACATATGAATGGCTCTGACCACAGCACGCTGACTCTAGATCGTGCTGTGAGTAACTCCGGGATGTACCGGTGCATTGCTGTGAACTACGTGGGCTCGGACGCTGGCGAGATCGAAGTCAACATCACCTATGCGCAAGGTCAGCCCACCACCGTGCCAACCATCATGCCTCTGCCAGGTAACCGGGCACTCGTTCACTTGGCAAGTGGCGGACATTCAGCGATTGGTTGATTCTATTTAAATTAGATTTCATTTGGAAATAACGTTGTCAATCCACTGCTTGGATCTGAGTGATCTTCAACAAGCGAGAATTTCATCATCGTTTGCAGCTGGGATTGCCATCGTCCCTCTCTCCTCCTGATGCCGAGGGGAAATGGACAAGGTTTTCGATTGTGGCTCATGCAGCTGCAATGACTGCATTGGATATGCGGTCCAAACCTCCCCAGAGACCCTGGCTGATGGAGGCCCACTGCCACCATCTACAGTATCCTACGTCGGAGAATGAGGAGGCTTACCGCAGCCTTTACTCGGAGGTTTGGAGAACCTTGTGGCGATTGAAGGATGAATGGTGGTCGTGGGTTGCTGAGTAGATAAAATCTGCCTTTGTAGCAACGCAATCACAAATCACTCTTTAATTCCATAAAAAAAGTAACCTGCAGCGACACACCTATCACCATCCTTCAGTGAAAGAAAAGTGATCCGATCTCCGACCCCCACGAACAGGTTTGCAAGTTTGCTGAGCATTTCTGTGAAATTTTGGGGAAGGGGAAATCTCTCAGCTCAGAAAACATCATGGGGAAATATGGGGATGACCTTGCTGACACTGCTGTGTCTCAAATATTGGAATAAGTAGTCACCCCCTGTGAGTGGCTGGTTGAAGTGCCATCTTTTGAGGAAATACAAAAGAAAAAGCGCCGGGCAGAGGTCTCCCAAGTGAACTGCTGAGGGAGGGTAGTGTTTGTGTGCAGACTGCCCAATATGAAATCATAATATCAGTCTGGACCACTGGATGGGTTCTGCAGGATTGGAAGGATGTCCTGGTGGTCCCCTTCTTTAAGAAGGGGGACCGCACAGACTGTAAGAACTACAGAGGCATCTCTCTCCTCAGTGTGTCAGGAAAGGTCCTGGAAAGGATCATTCAACATTGCCTTGCCAGGCACAGATGCCATATTTTCTGTCTGTCTGCTACTTCAGCGTTCTAGGGAATTCCAACAGGACTTACATCTCTGCTTTATTTACCTGGTCAAGGCCTATGATATCATGAATAGGCCTGGGCTCTGGGTTTTTTTCATGGTTTCAGAGTCGCTGACTGTCTGCTCACAATCATTATGGACTTTAATAATGGTGGGGAGGCCCGAGTTAAACTACATGCTACATGACCGGGAGTCAGAGCCATTCCCTGTTCACCTTGGGGTGTGACTGGGATGTCCTCTGGTGCCTACATTATTGAACGACTTTTTCAACCAAATAGTTCGAGAAGCCTTCCATGGCTGTACCGGAGGAATCTCCATCTGGTACAGATACAATGGGAGGCTGATCGATGCCCAGGTACGGTGGAGGAATGGCTCCTTATTGGTCAACCATGTTATGTATGCTGATTTTATTTTATCTGGGGATTGCTGCCCATGACAATAACGATATTTCTATCTCAATTAACGTGTTGTGTGCCTCAGACAGTGGCACCTACATCTGCATATTCATGAAAACTTTAGTGAATGAGGTGGTGAATTCAATCGGTAAGCGGTGTTTATTTCATTAACGAGGTTAATAAGAACATTAATCTTCAATGAAGTGGTCTATTTTATTTTTGTTCGAGATGACTTTGAGATCGATTGAGCGACCACGAGAGACCACTAGAGGCTCTGATGAGACAACATGACCGGGTCAGCTTGAAGACACACACTCAGAAAATTCAGTCGCGCATTAGATCATGTGGTGTGCTGAGGCAGACCACAAATTACCAAGTTCAAGTGATCTCCTGCTGCTCAAATGAGCATTGAGATGTGCAAAAATGAGGTGTGCATCTCCAAGTTCCAGCCCTGCAGAGCCAGTGGTCGAAATTACACATTCCTATGGCAGGGGTGCCATGCAATTAGCATGGCGCATGTGTTGTGGTGATGAACAGCATTTGTTGTTGTTGTCTTCCAGATGGCATTGAGCCCTGCGTCATAGCTGTTGCCACCGTAGTTGCACTCATGGCGTTGGTGGCCGTGTTCGGAGCTATTTACTTCTTCCGCAAGAAAGGCAGTCCTGTCACGTGAGTTTCCTGTGTCAAAATGTTTGTAGATTCGGAAAGAATTCTGGAGGTATGTCACTCCGACTGAGAATTATTGAAAGAAGTTTCAGAGTTCAGCACAGTCTGTCAGTGTGACACCATTCTCAATCTGCCCATTGGCCAACCCGTCAGCAGCAGCTATGCAAACAATTTACGTACTTGCTCGTTCACAAATGTATTATCATTGCTTTTTGTATTGTGTGCATATGACTGCAACCCCCACCAGAGTTCAATTACCACAACAAACATCTCACCACCGTGGCACCATCCCTCCATCGGCACCAAATGCCAAGTGCCGATCACCCACTATATTGATTAAATTCATCTCTCAGAGCCGACCATGTCCACGACTAAGTTTAAATTCGAAAAATTGGCCAAAGCAGTAGGATAATGAAGCATTAACCTGTTTCCAAATATATTTATTTGGTGATATGATTATTATTGGGTTTAGCACGTAGAATTTCGCGACCATGAATGATTATTATTGCTTGACATTGTTCAATTCTCAATCCGCTTGCCCTGGTGAGGGTCGCGGCGGCAGCATGTTGAGCAAAGGGATCCAGACCTCCCTATTCCTGGCGAGAGCCTCGAGCTCTTCCAATTGTCAGGCGTTCCAAGGCCAGCCGAGCGACATAGTCCCACCAGCGTGTCCTGGGCCAGTCCGAGGATCTTCTCCCAGTGGGATTTGCTGCCCGGTAGAGTTCTAGGGGGAGTCTACCGGGGAGCATCCTTACCAGGTGCCCGATCCACTTCAACTGGCTCCTCTCAATCCAGAGGAGCAGTGGCTCGACTCTGAGGCTATGTTGGATTACTGAGCTCTTCACCTAATCATGGAGAGTGAGCCCAGCAACCCTGTGGAGGAACCTCATTTGGGCCCCTTGTACCTGCAATCTTATCCTTTCGGTCATTTCTCAAAGCTCATGACCATAGGTGGTGATAATGTAGATCGACCTGTAAACTGAGAGCTTTGTTCGAGAACTCAGCTTCTGCTTCACCTCCACGGAATGGTACAGTGCCTGCAACGCTGCACCAATCCACCAGCCGATCTCCTGCTTCCACGTACGTCAACTGCAAATAGCAGCGACGCCACCTCCATGCCACCGTACTGGATACTCTCCATACCTCGGCTGCACCTTTGATATCCTGTCCGTGAAAAATCACAAACAGGAGTGGAGACGAGACCCACCCTTGGCGGAGTCCAATACCCACAGTGAATGACTTTGATTTAACACCAAGAATAAGGACATCTCTCATTCAGGGAATAGAGGGATTGGATAGCACACAATCAGCACCGATACATCATACTCCTGCAGCACCTCCCACAATATATTGCAGGGAACAAGTTCCTATGCCTTCTCCAAGTCTACAAAGCAGAGGTAAACTGGAGAAGCATACTCCTATGACCTCTGAAATATATGTGACAGGGAAAGAAGCGGGTCCATTGTTCCATGAACATAACGGAATCCGCACTGTTCCTCCTGAATCTGAGGCTCAACCACCAGGAGGAGCCTCCTCTCCAGCACACTGGCATAGGCTTTACATGTGAGGCTGAAGAGTGTGATCCCTTTGTAGTTGGAGCACACCCTCTGGTCCCCGGAATCACAAACTCAGTTTGCCAATCCAGATGTATTGTACCTGCCTTCCATGAAACATTGAAGAAAAACGCGGGATAAGCACTACATTATTATTTAAAATAGCTTACTTTTGCACATTCTTAAATGACATGTTTTAGGTGTTGTTATGTTTTTGTGGTGTTTCAATTTGGTTACTATCTGAAATTGGCACAAATAAACATACAAATAGACAAAAACAATTATCCTTTCAAAGGTTACTGTATTTACTGTACCGTACTTAATACTACAATCTTGGAGTCTCTGCACGAGGTGATGTGTATATACGTGCAGTATTTTCATTGTTTAATTTGTATGTAGTGTATAATGTACCGTTTCTAATATTTGACACTGAAATCAAGCATAGCTACTATTTTTGCCACACACGCAGTGCCTAACGCCTGACTGGTTACAGCCCTTGGAGCGGTTTTGCCGGTTTTATCGGGCCCAGGACCGCCTGATAATGTTGGAAGCATACCGCCACTGTGGAAGACGGACAAACTTGACTATGCAAATGACTCATAGTTTCACTTTTAAAAATTAATTATCGCTTACAACAAAAACTTCACCCTTTTTAGGAACCGCATGCAACCTCTGGATGAGAGAATAATGAATTCTGCTGAAACGGTGGGTGGATTAAATCGGAGTTCTGCCTCTACCAACACAGTGAATATAATCAGAAATGATGAAAATTATAATAAGTTATACCCTGTCTGGCAATAAAACAGGAGTTGTGTTAAGATATTCCAACACCAAATAGATATATTTTGCAAGGCATCAAGACGAAGTCTACATTAACCACAAGTACTTTTAGAAAAACATGCAAACAAACATGCGCTGATAATATATGCAATGTATTTCAAACTGATTGGCCTACACCAGAGACGGCTTTCTTTGTGGCCTTGTCTCGCCACCAGTGTGAGACCAGAGAACGCCAAAAGGGGAACAGTACAAAGACAATGCAAGTATCAGAACACTTATAGCTCGGGTCGAGGAGTTTTATAAATATTAATACAATCAGAAATTTCAAATGACTGAGAAACTACCTGGTTACACATATACCAACGCTTAATTCCATCCCATTTCTCTTACTAAAGACCTTATGAATCCTAATGCGTTCTATTCTCTGTTCACTGTGACAAAAGTGTTCGGGTTTTTTTGTTTGGGTGCGTGCATAACATACTAAGAATTTCATGGCAGGAAAGGATACACAAGTTGTAAGTTTATATTGGGGGGAGCAGGGGAAGTTTTTTAGACAATCATGGAGGTTGCGATTAGTGGGGGCGCATGTGCAGGATGGTGGGGTGGGCAGGTTCTTGAGACGGGCATTGGAGTGGTATCCAGGAGCCAGAAACTGGGTAGATGGCAAGACGAACTCAGAGTAGACCTTGCAGGGTAAGTGTTCACTGCGCAAACAGCTGATATATCTAGCAGAGCCAGAGCATTGCTGGCAGAGAGTGGTGGCATCAATGTTAACTTCTCGATGTTTTATAGTAGTGTGACCTTTTAACCTTTATGTCTACCAACTGTCTTACAAGCTGTGCCATAGATAGACCAATCTCCAATCAGCTGGCATAGATTGACAGAAAAAGTGATGTGAGCACCTGTGAATGTCTATAGGATGGGGTGGCCAATGCAGTTTCCTTTGTCTCCCGAATTATTTAATCAGTATCTCATTTTTAAGTCTGAGTTGACCTAGGGGAGGTGCAGGATAAGTTCAGATGGGGTTTTAATCAAGGCAAAATATAATTGCTGTGCAATGTGGACTATTGCAGCACTGCACGGACACAGAATAATGCTACTGCATTGATAACATTTGATTTTAAAGTAATTTCTGCTCCAAAACAATGCCTAATCGTGTGCTTTCCACGAAATATCCTATTGCAGAGCCCACCTAACCAAGAGGCCAGTCACTACGAGGTAAGCTTCACACACCAAGTGAAATGTTTAATAAGGATGACTTTAAGTCTATGGACTGTTGACAAAAAACAATGTCGAAGTCAAGTGTCAAAGCGTCTCCCCGCTTAGACAAAGCATGGCTTAGTACTCATTTCCATTGCAGGCCCTAAATCAAGTGGTGCCAATTGCACATTGCTATGGCGGGACCACAGCAACCTGCGCCTGTTGGTCAATGAGAATAATCGACTATGTGTGCCACTACGATCCGGAACTTCTCCACATGGGCATTTAATCAGGAACATGACCTCTGTAGCATCGGGCTCAGTGGCCCCACCAATCGAGACCAAAAGCCACCCCTTAACGCACATTTGATTATAAATGATAATGCACGTGTTGTTTTATTTTGCAGCCTCTCAAGCCGCCTGAAGAGAACGCCTATGACAAATTAAACCACCCCAAGTACACGAACGCTTGAAACTGAACACTTCGGGAACGCACGCGTGCACTTAACAACGACATGCATTCGCATGGAAATCAAAACTCAAGAGCACGTGGTTCAATCGGAGGTTACATTTATTCGGCCATGGCGACACACAGAGACAAATATCCCCCCCATATAGACATAGACTGTTGGGACAAGTGCTGTTAGGGAGTCGCATCTATCAAGGCCGGCAAGGCACGGCACACGAGGGGGTAGATGTCCAACACCACGCCCGGCTGTCATTGTCTCACCAGTGGTCATGTTTACACACCACACTAGATACTTATTTAAGGCTGAGTCGATCTAGGGGAGGCCCATGACCGGTTCAGATAATCGCTGTCACTGGTGTTGGCCGTGAGCAGGAATCGAGCTCGGGTCGCAAAGTTATTAGCGAAGCAGCGCACCAACCCGCTGCACTGCCGCTCCCAACACACACATGCACAGACATACATACACACGTGTATATATGTTTTAGATCACAATGCGATCATGTTCTGTGAGCCTTTTAAGTCTTGGGAGGACTGCAAAATTACCGGCATATAACAGTACAGCAAATAGGTTACATATATATCTGCGTGCAAAGTTTAGCATTGCGCACTTGCACATGTGATGGGTTTAATACAGACACTCCGGTTTCCTCGCACTTTATGAAACAACAAAAATGTTGACAAACATCTCAATTCCTGAGACTCGGTGATGTTTTCCTATGTAAATATATATATACCGTAGACTCTCGATTATCCGCGATAATGACAGATAATTTAAAACTGTGGATAATCCCAAAATATCCATTTTCCGCGGATCTCTATGCCAAAAACGAACGATCGATTGATTGATGCACGTGGTCAGTGATAACACTTTCTGGCTCCCGCGCAGAAGACTCTGCTGACTAAGTGGACAGCAGAGCCCCGCCAATCAAAATCAATCAAAATCCGCCCACTGTTCTAAATATATGCAACTACTGTACTGTTTAGGTGATCACGTAGATTACGGTTTAAGCACTCTCCTTGTAATACATATTTCCAAGAACAACTTTATAACTTTTTAGATAATTAATTTGGGCTTTAGGGAAAATCCATGAGTAATTTATGTAAAAATATCAGGTGCGGGGTTAATCACAAATCGGATAAACCGCACGTGGGTAACAGAGTCTACTGTATACTAAAAAAGATTGTACCCCACTGTTAACATCAAAGTACAAATGTGCACACTGATTAGACCTCATCGTGCTATTCATTTTGTGACACTGGATGAAAAGAGGTGGACCAAAATCACTAGAGATCCAATCAAATTATCATGGCTCCTGGAACCAAAAATAGTAACGGGAGTGACAAGATAATAGGTTTGTGGGATCAAGCCTGTCCTATCCCCTGAATCCTATGGCCCTGATGTGTGTGTATTTGGACCTTTTAACGCCGTACGCAGCTAATTGTAGGTGCGCAGGAAGGATAACAAACTAACGCATAAGTCCAGACTTTCGGATGTGGGGGAAGGGGGGGCTCTCCTGGAAGTCGATAGAAATCCTGCAAATACAAAGAAAAAATTACTAAACGGTGATGAGTCATAACCTCCATTAGTGGATGTTCTGCCTCACGGCAGGTGTGGGGGTGTGCGTACACAGGAATTTCCTCATATGGTGTTGAGTTTGGTCACGTGACCAGGAAGTTACGATTTCATATTTTCTTTAAGCCATAAGGCAGGGTGTCAGCCATTACACAGAGTACAAAATGGAGGCACAAATAGCGTCTCAGTGAAGAGAGATGCATCTGCTCATTGTGGGACTTTAAGAAGCATTGTCTGTAAGTTCGTTTATGTTCTTATAATACTGGGAATGCTGTTATGTTAGGATTGCGTTATAATGCTGCAAATGTCTTTATATGCAGTTAAATTGTTATGATAAATGAGGCCTAGTTAACAACGAAACCGGATAAGGTCATGAGGTGTCCGCCATTTTAGCAGAGAGCGGCCATTTTGTGTGAGGCAATTGTGTTTCAAGGTTGAGACTGGAATGGACTGGCCTCTAAATAATCTTAATAAACTCGGCTTTTTATAGCGCAATTTGGACAAAGGCCTTAAAGCACTTAATGTAAAATTATGGAAAGCCTTTTGTAAATACACGTGAGTTTTTAAGGCAGAATTATAAAAGTTTAACGCCTTTATATTCCGTCACGGGTCAATGAGGAAAGGAATTCTACGAAAAAAATATCTGGCTCCCATAGAATGTCTGGTCTTTGGAATCATAATGCGGTAGATCAAAATCAGCAGATCGCCTCAACCAGAGCCGACTCGACTGTTGGATGAGAGTGCTGCTGATGCTGCTGCTGAAGCCAGAGACAAAGGTGTCACTTGTGTAACAGGTGTGTCGAAGTGAACGTGATGATTTACATGTAAGATCATGCCCCCTAGTGGTTGCAGTGGTGCGAGGTGCCTTAAGCCGGTTCAATTACTGTACGGGGAGACCCTTCTTGAATATCGCGGGTATATATTTTGTACCTGAAAGTACCGTGTCATTGGCTGATACGGTGATGTGGTGCGGGCTAGGGATGCAAGGTCCCACCTCAACCTTTGATGTGCATAAATCTCGTGGATAAAGAAAAATATATCCCCGTATAGCCTTAACGGCACACTAGGGGGTGGGTGGTAGTGATATTCAGCACGTGACTTGTAATAAACATTTCTAAGAATAACAATGTATAACTGTTTTTACAATATAAATTTGGCCATAAATGAAAATCCATTGGTTAGTAATTTGTCAAAATCTCAGGTGCTTGGTTAATCGGTAAATTTGATCAACCGCACGTAATCGAGTCTATCGTATGTGTCACCGCCCACAGCTATGAAATAAGGGCCCTCCAAAGCGATGTTTTGTGAAATACACTTGCTGTGACTTCGAGTCCAATCCTTGAGCCGCTATTGCATCACGTACACCACCGTCACCATGGCTGGAGTAACCATGGCCTACAAGACGCGTCACTTCTTGAGGAAATGTCACACTGAACACGTGACATGTACAAACAAGATGCAGAACAAAACTGTTAACTTGGCACCTTTGCACTGCAACGTGTTTCCCCGAGTTCTCAATTTACACGTGCGATTCATCAAGGGTAAAGTATGGTTTTGCATTGGCACGTTTTTTATTTCATCTTCGTTGACTGCAAGCTCTGGATTATTAATCGTGGCCGAAGTCATTGGATTTCATGTAGTCATCTCAGTCTAGCTGGCGAATAATGGCATTTATAACGCGCCAACTCAGAGGCGCTGAGCCAAGCTCAGGTGTGTTCGAAAGCCCTGAGCTTGGCAAAGGGATATAGTTCCACACCGAAGAGGCAACAGCAGAGAACCGACAAGAGACTGTGAAAGTTTAGTGTAGTGTATAGTGACGTGAGGCTGTACCAGTTCGAGACCTCGGTGTCCTGATGCAGATTTTGAGTGACGCTGCTGTGCAGGCAGAGGTCGCAACCGGGTACCCGATACCCGTACCATACCCGAGGATTGTTGGTGACGGAAGATTGCTGGCTTGCGAGCGCAACCACCTGGAGTCCTACTGTGGACAGTGGTTCTGTTCACCCGTCCGCCACTCAAGAGTGGATCGTAACAGAAAACCACTCGCCACTGCCGGCAAAGTAGCCCTCCCGAATGCTGAAGACTGCGAGGCTTCGACAGATGGGGACACTCGCGGGGAAGAAGGGAGGTGACCTCCTGAGAGCTGTGAAGTTGTCGTTGGAACGTTTCATTTAATCTGTTCAATATTTGAAGCAATCCGAGAAACCGGTATTGTCGGGTTATAGGATTATGTTGTTTGTTGCTGTTATGATTGTGATTAAAGTTGCTATAATTTGCAGATATTTTCACTCCCCCGGGGAAGTAGCAAACTTGTCACCATTAAACAATTTAATAACTGTAAAAATTTTGAATTCAAAATAAACACCATTATGCAGTATACTGGCAGTGATCCTTGTTATACTCCGCACACGGTCATTGGGTGTGTCGCGTGAAACGGGTCCCACCATGAACTAAACCACAGCGGTGTGGGTACTAGAGCTAGGGTCGGCTATGGGCCGAAACCCGCAAAATCTCATGTCGCAAAAGGATGTACCGTTACAGGCACATGATATGTATATAAGATGTATATTAGAATAAGAATATACTGGAGAAAACCGATGAGCCATACAGCTCAGATCTCTAGTAGGGGCACGGGGTAAGAACATTATAATACTAAAACAGAATAGTAGTGCACAGTACAATAAATCACCCAAATACAAATAAAACTAAACCATCCCCATCCTACCAGGCAAAGCCCACTGAGATATGCACTTATTTATATTTATGCAAAATTCCCCCGTCTCTCCCGTATACAGACTGCATGGAACAGTGCTGCCAGCGAGTACCCATTAGACTAAACTATTTTTTATTATTTTATCAGGTAAGGCCTATTGAGCTATACTGTATAGCTCTTTTTCACAAGTCACCTGGCCATAAATGAAGGCTCAATGAAGTGACTTATCGGAGCTGGAGAAAAATACATGCGACTTGTCTTCACCTAAGTCATTTTCTGCCAATATGGCTACAGAAAATTAACGCAGATTGTTCACTTTAGTTGCAGGGATGCTGCCGTGGTATAATTATGGCAGTTACACTATCGTTGGCGCATCTTTCTCTGTTGGCTGCTATCCCATGACCTTTATTCTTCTGGTCGTGACGCATGGTCATCTTTTTAGCGAGATACATGGTCACACGCCATATAAATGTGCCCATGTTCCCAGATTTATGATGAACAGAGGAGACCGCGAAAAGATGTCTGTATACACATTTGCCAGCGAGAGGCTATAGCGAGGCGCATCACAGCCCACCCCACAGCAACAACAATAAAAGTAATACAGTTCTGAGACAATGAGTAGCAACTCTGCATTGTATTGTCCTCCGGAGAAATGTGCGACTCCACAACAGCTCGGCACCAGGAGTTTGTGAAATGTAAAACTTTATTTCAAAAGTCTTCTTCAGAAGGGCAGTGGCATATCAGAAATTGCGGGTCAGAAACACCCTCCATGTCACACCATAGCTGAATTCCTCAGGCGCCAAATCTGTCCAAATCTCAATTGTGATAACAGCCGCTTATCATTTATAACAACATTTAACATACATAATATTTCACAAACATTTAATAAGAAATATTTTAATATTTAACAAACACATCTGCCCAAATAAATCTGTAGTGCCTCCGACATTTCCTAATACTTGCACAAACCAAATACGTACTTTTTCATTATTATTTTTTTATCTCAAATTAAAAAAACTACGTGAATTAGATTACTCGTATTTTACTGACAATAAACATGAAATCAGGAATGTAACCTCTGCAAAACAACTGTCCCACTTTAATGTGGGACAGGTATCAATGTTAAAATTTAAATCTAAGACATTTAATATATTCTCCAAGAGATGGAGACAAAATGGAGATGAGACGGATACGAGATGAAGACAAGACAGAGCATCATCGCAAGCAGAGTGCAGTTAGAGTACCTATACAGTGCTTCATTACGATGCATACTGTACAAGGAATCCCGTGGTCAATTGCGAATTGTCGAGCATCTCAATAAAACATTTGTAGCAAAACCGCGATAGCTAAGCCCGCGAGAATAAATAATCAAATACAGACACGCAGATCCTTTTGTCTCTCTCGTGCGCGTCTATGTTAATAACTAACTTTTATCAATAAAAAAATTACGAATATACACCCACCTCTGTCTCGCGTGTCTGTTTTAACAACCACAATTCCATTCCCCACTCCCTCGCTGTCCTGGAAACTCTATGCTTGTCTCCCTCGCTGTCCTCCTTGACACTTGTCTCCGTCGCTGTCCTTACGTGTCTGTCTTCCACTCCCTCTCTCTCCCCCACCCCACACATCCGGCCTGCCCTCCCTCCACCGGAACTGCGTCTCCCTGGCTTCCCTGTCTCGTCTCTTTCCCCACCCTCAGTTTTCGGTCATTACACAGTAATTAAGAATCTCCACGCAGCACACCCGTTGACTGTGCGCTGTAATCACACGACTGATTCATTCTCCACGCGCGCAACTGGTGCCTCGGCACACCAACACCGATTAGAGCAACGAATTAAATTAATCCCAAGTTAATATCTATCTTTTAAACCCAATAATGGAGGATCTCCACGCGGCACGCACCAGCAAATATGCACACGTAACTTCAGTAGATTTTTTTAAAAGTACTTTTTTATAGATCCTGCCAGCCCATGCCTCGCAAAATCAAGAATGAAAGGGAACAAAAAAATCGGCCTTCCTCGTTCTCAACCAACCAAAATTGCTAAATAAAAAATTCAGTCTACCCTCGTGACAGAAACGCCTCGGCATATTAACACAGCTCGCCGTCTGTACGACGTTGAGTGGTCCCCGCAGTGACGATGTTTCACGAAATATTGTTGATCAAGACGCTACAAAAACTCTTCTCCCACCACGTGCCCTCGTCAGCACAACAACAACTTTGAGACCACGTGAAGTGTCGAACGCCCGCGGGCAAGAGGTCATGGGGCAGACCCAGGTGCCACGGGTCGACCGGCTGAGATGACCGAGATGACTGGCTGATGCACCACCTGTGCCCCCTACTGTGCCAACTTGCTGTGCTTTAGCCACCCGGCGCTCCGCTCGTTGTGAGCGTTGCTTCTGCCCCCTCCATTGTTGTTGGAGGGTGACTGCCTCAAACTGCCCAGTAGCGTCCTTCACAGGCCTCTTCCACAGAGGCCGGTCTTGACACCGCTAGTACTGGTCAACGGCAAGTCCACTCAGCTCCAATCCTCCTGTACCACATCACTCCATCTCTTCTCTTGCCCATGCCGTGCCCGTTTAGCCCCCTTGATTCGGCCGAACAAAAGTTGTTTAGGCATGCGGTGGCTGGGAATGCGGGCTACATGGCCCAGCCAACGCAGCCTTGCCTGCCAGTAGAGCTCACCGATGGGAATTTGTACAGATCTTTCAAGGATATCTGAGCTCACACAATCCAGCCTGGTTAAACCCAAGATGGAGCGTAGGCAGGCCAGCCTAAATGTTTCTAACTGGCAAAGATGTTCCATTAGGGGGGTCCATATTTTGCAAGCGTAGAGAATGGAGGGATTGGCCATAGCCAAGAAAACCTAAAGCTTCGTGCAGAGCGACAGACCAGGTAGCTTCCACACAGCATTACGCAACCGATGAAAAGATAATGCTGCTCGACTGATTCGGAGTGAGACCTCTGCTGTCAGCACGTAGCCCTGCTGACACACACTTTAAAAAAACCTCCCTCCTCCTGATTGGACGGGATATTCGAGCCTCACGATTGGCTCGTACCCGTGTCATTGTGACGTTGCCTCTCACTCGCGATGACGTTGCCATCGCATCCGATGTGAGGAACATGTGTTTTGCAGCCGTGCTTTCTTGGTTCGTTCGGCTGGCTCGAGATACATATAGTGGGGGGATTGACTGATGGATGGCCATGTCCATTCAAATTAATTCAGCAACTTCTGTAGAACCTCTGGTCTTTTTGTGATGGAATAAAATATTGGTTGTGTAGAGATAGTGCATGTGTTGAGACAATGTGTGTTTGGAGAGTGCGTGTGTAGAGACAGTGCGGGTACGGGGACAGTGTGTGGTCCAGTGGTTACGGGGAGTAATTACAGGGGTGAATATTAACAGAGGGGAGTTATGAGAAGAAGGGAACCATCTGGGAAGTTCTAGAGAGTTCGAGAATGGGGGCGGCGCCGAGGGCGGAGTGAGGGCCACGCCTTGGATTAAACGGGGAGAAAGGCGAGGTTCGGGGCTGCCGTGGGATCGGGGTCGACTGTCTTCACGCCGTCGCTGTCTTTGCATTGTCGCTGTCTTCGCGTCATCACTTTCGTCGCTTTCTTCGCGTCTACGCTGTCTTCGTGTCGTCGCTGTCGTTGCTGTCTGCGCGTCGTCGCCACTTGCGTGCCACCCCTGGCCCGAGTTATATGCGTGTCATCCCTGAGCAAGTTATCGACATGAAGAGAAATAAAGCTACCCTCTACAGTTCGTGTTGTCTGAGAATCATTGAAGTTGTAACATGCACTGTGCTGCTCTACCTGCATATCAAACCTGCTTACAAATGATGCTCGCATAGTTCTGCTTGAGAAGATTGGCAAGTTTATTGAGTACATTTTCTGTTATTTTCATGATATGGGCAATAAATTGGAGAGCCAGAATAAACCCACCACGTATACAAGGAGATCCATGCCCAAAGTCCACACGGATAAGCCGATATTTAAAACTAAATTTTTAGAGCTGCTTTTCGTGTTTTTATTTTATTGTCCTTCCCCCGCACCTCACTTTGGACGACTTAAAGATAGAACGATCACCGAACACGATCCTATCGTATCCACTAACTCCACCTCCAAAGTGCTTATTACGTGTGCGCGTCACAATTCCCGAATAAATTTAACTTCTAATTAAACCCGTGTACATTGGTTTTAACCGTGTCGTTTAGTGCAATGTGTTGAAAGTGCTTAATCTCATACATTCTCGTATGTGGGATGGTTTAATTCATCGTACGTTTTCCCTGTAGACGGCTTCAGAGGCTGTGAAATGAAAAGCAAAGAAACTTTCATTTTTGTTGATTCATTTGAGTTCATCGCTACAGGTATAATGTACAATTTCGTACTTAAATCAAGTCCCATTTTCTCCCAGCTCAAATGTGCGTGGCACGGTACTACTCTTCTGCATTGGTTTGTCCTGAACCATGGCTATTATTCTACACAAAAGCAAAGTTTGTGGGGAATAATAGCCATTTTCTATACTTTTTAGGCATAAGCAGTAAAAAATAACACTTACTACCCAGGGACAAAAATCGTGTTACATAGTGTATTCACTGGGCGAAGACCCCGAGGACGGCCCAGGAAACCTCTGGCGAGATTATGTCGCTCGGCTGGCCTGGGAACACCTGGAAATTCTCCAGGAAGAGCTAAATGCTGTGTATAGTAGTGTATATTAGTGTATAGTATAGTAGTGTTTTGTAATGTATAGTAGTGTAATAGTGTATGTTAGTGTATAGTGTAGTAGTGTATAGTAATGTATAGTGTATAGTGCAGTAGTGTATAGTAATGTATAGTAGTGTAGGATATAGTATTGTATAGTGTAGTGTATAGTAATGTAGTGCTAGAGTCTGTCACGAGGGAAAGGGAGGTCTTTACCAACCTTACTTAACACGCTGCCTCCGGGACCCTCACCAGGACAAACGGATTGAGACACGAACGAACGAAATCATATTCAGCGAAGGCATCCTTACTTAGCGTTGCCAATTGAGCGTGAGGCTTACCTGGTAGTGAACGCCATATTGGTTTTGTGGGTTCTGCAATGGGAAAGAATTAGTTGGCAAAAACTCACGCAATTAGATGTTGAATGTCGGTACAAATTACTGAAATGTTACAAGTGGATTTTTTTTTTCCGTGCGTGTCTTTGCCGGTGGTGCAAATGGTTTGCAGCACTGCAATCTGTTTGGCCATGGTTCAATTGTTCGCGGTGAAATTTGAAACTGTGCTGGACCTCCCATAGGTCAACGCTGCCATAAAAAATTTAGTCAATATTTAAATTTTACCACTGGGGAGCTGATTGATGTGCTGATCACCACTGCACCTCATCCCAAATACATGCTCGTTTTACCGCTTTATCCATGGCAGTCTATGATTACTAAACAGGGAATTTTGAGGCATGTATAAGGACAAAGATTCCCGAGTGTGGGCTTCACAGATTGTTGTGGCAAGTGCTGTTCGCGAGCAGCACCTATGAAGGCCAGCACAGCACACGAGCGAATGGATGGGTGGCCAGCACCACACTCCGCCGCCTTTTACTCCCTAGTGGTGATGTTCACACACCCCTGCACCAGGTACTCATTTGATGCCGAGTCAACCTAGAGGAGGCCAAGGACTGGTACAGATAATCGTTACCGCTGTTCGCCGCGAGCGGGGATCGAATGGCCGGGTTCGTAGAGTGGCGCGCTAACCGCCACACTGTCGGGGTGTGTTCAGTAGATGGCTGCCGATAATTCAAAATCGCGGTTAATCCAAAAAATATATACAATTTTCCGCGGATCTCTATGCTAAAATCCACTAATATAGGTAAAGTTAAGAAAATACTCTTTCAATTTAGAACGAATATTGACCCGATCGATGCGCGTGCTCAGTCATAAAACTTTCCTGCTCCCGCCCAGCAGAAGACTCGACCCACTAAGTGACAGCAGAACCACAGCCAATCAACATCAATCAAACTCCGCCCACTGTTGTAAAGGTATGCAACTACTGTAGTGTTGGTGCGAGTACATGGATTTCGGATTAACCAGAGCAGATATTTTTGATCTATTTCAGCACGTAACATGTAATAAACATTTCCAAGAATGACTATGTAAAACTGTTTTTTATTTAGTATTAATTTATGTATTCATGGAAAATCCATGAGTTATTAATTTATGTCAAAATCTAAGGTGCGCGATTAATCCGCAAATCGAATAAACCACATGTGGATAATCGAGAGTCTACTCTATATACAATGACACACACACACGATATCACATTGCTCAGCCGAGGCAGGTAGTAAGATTAGCTTATCAATTCACCCACCGATTCAGTAGAATTCAGGTTTTTCTCATCCAGATTTTTTCTGTGGTTCCTAAAAGAGTTTAAATGAAATTTTTTTCAAAGATTAATGCACAAAAATGGAATAACTTAAAGTAATTGATCATCGATTATCCAGCTTCCAACATTATCCAGCGGTCCCGAGGCCGATCCGGCGAACCCGGTAAAACCACTCCAAAGGCTGGAACCAGTCTGGCCATCAGCATGACAAAAAAGTTAGTTTTGCTTGATTTCAATGTCAAATATTATATTTGGTACATTATACACTACATACAACTTAAACAATGAAAATACTGTACGTTAAAAAAAATTCCGACTATGCGAAGCGCCCACGCTTTGCTCCTTTTGTGAACCCTCAAGATTTGGAAGGGTCCCTTGCCCGAAGAAACTGCTCCTAATAGCTGGGATTATTTCCCATTTAGATAAAACCATGGACATAGTTTAGTGGGGGGCGAGGAGGTGGCACGGGGGGTGGGGCAATGCCACCCCCCACCCCAAACTGGACACCTTAATACATTTATTTTCAGTAGTTTACAATTAAGATTTTAAAAACATAATTACATGCAGCCGCAATTCCTAATGTGATGGACAAAGCAAAACCCTGTCCGCCCTTCCCCCAAAAATATAGAAGTCAAACTCCGCCTATGCTAAAAACCTACTCAATTTGCCATACGTTAAGATAAACTTAGACATTTTTTTTAATTCGTACTGCACTCAGAAGTCCCTTTTGTTGGGTCTACTGTGCCTCTTAAAAACAGAAAACGTAATTGGCTGTGTCGGTGGTGGCGGGTTTAACAACACGTTTATATTTACGCAATATAACCCCAAAAAACCTCTATCATAGATAAAAGTCTGATATTTCAATCGACATAACACTGTTTGAAATGCTTGGACATACCATTTGGAAGTGATTTCTGCATGCACATTGTAGAATTCGGCACGGCCAGAGGGCGGCTGTTGTAACTCCAGATTGTGGGATGGGAATTTCCCGTCAATGTATTCGTACTGATGATGGTCGTCCTGCTGCTGATGTTGCTGCTGCTCCTGAGAGTAGGAATGGGGCGTGGGGTTAGAGGGGTGAGCATTAAAAGGAAAACATAGTTTGAAAAATAAAACATTATTTTCCAACGATATTGATTGACTTCGATGCAACGGATGCAATCTGCTTTTGTAAAATTAACCTTTGTTGTACTTATCTATGCTCATTGATGAGATCAGCAACGGATCATGTGGTTCATAAAGAGAGGTATTTGTGGTGTAGATCCGTGTCACTGTGTGTCGCTTATCAAACACTCACGGTTTCATCCGCAGTATTCTGCTGGCAATTTTCACCTTTGCTCTTTCTCCTGCAGAGATTGTGAAAGGAGAAATATCACCACAATGTACGTACAGGGCGTATCACTCGATTTGCAAAGAGGGATGCGGTTCTTAAAAAAAAACTCGCCATAGAACAGAATTCCGTAAATTATAAACGGCTAACTCCCATTAATTTAATTAAAAGAAAATGAGGGATGTGTTCAGGACAGTCATTCCAACTCTACTCTAAAAATATACACCACCTATAACACTCTTCACCGTGTAAAAATAATAATCATAAAGAACATAAACATAAAAACGATTGTTTAATAATTCATGTAAAACTACACTTATTAACCTAAGTCGCCAAAAGATCCTGCAGCGTATTGGAATGACCGGAGGGAGAGGCGTTGTGGAAGCGTTATTACTGCCGCCGCCGCTGCCGCAGGGACACCGTCGCTGATGGGTAACGCAGCCTCCCGGGTGCCTTCTTGTTTGACGATCTCACGGCGGTGCGAGTGGCAGCAGTGAGATTTCGCTCGCGCGCAAATGCGACTTCACGAATCGAAAAGCGTACACAATTCGTCAATTGCGCGAACGAAAAAGTGTCGTGAAGTGAACGTTCGTAAAATCGAGAGTTACCTCTACAGCGTACATTTTCATGGACGCATTTTACTCCGATTAATGTCACAGAACTATAAAACACTGGCTCATAACTGAAGAAAATGCCGTGAGGTGCAAACCATCAGACATATCGCTAGTGACTGGCCAATACAACACCCATGCTCTGGTGGAACAAGTGCACGACTCCACTCAGCTACCCCAATACAACCACGCGTACTCTGGTGGAACGAGTGGGCTACTCCACTCAGCTACCACCCTGGATGCCATGGAATGGTGTACTACATTAAACCTACAATTGTAGCCTGCTCATTTTTTAAAATGCCATGTGAATGATGATGAAGAAAACGGCGATAGGATAATTTTTTGTATTCACGCTTGTAGCGTTAAGACTGTTAACACGACCGAATTGTTAATATCTAAACTTAGTTGTGGAATATCACAGCTCTGATGGTTACATTTTAAGAGCGACATTTTCATTATGTATGATACAGTGGAATGATAAAGTGGAATGATACAGCAACACGGGTAGCAGTATACCCTCAGTTTTATGTCCCATCATCTCACTGCATGGTGTGTAGAAGTAGTGTACAATCGTATCTCTACGTTATTTATTGGTGTAAATAGTGTTTCGATTAACGCGGCACTTTTCAGGAAAACATCTATCACCACCACCAGCCCTTTCTAAACAAGACTCACTGTACACTATTTATATATTTAGCTTTACGTTCAAATAATCAAGAACGTAACCCAAGCATACGTCGAGGTACACCCGTGTAACAAGTTCCGACAGCAAGTAACCTACGCACGTGAATGTCTTCCCTTACTTGTGGAAGCAGAAGTAGTAAACGGGACCCACCGCTGCCACCAATGCCGTCAGCGGCACTACGATGGCAACGGCTACAACCCAGGTCTCAACGCCACCTGTAAGACAGCAACGCGGCTGTTATGAGACATTCACGCACGGGATAACTTTGCAATTTGTACACACACAGGCCCACGTCAGTAGACTCTAGGATGAGGAAATTCCCTAGCTGTGGGGTTTGTGGGGTTGCTTGCCCACACTTTGTCACGCTGGTCAGTGCCGGTTGGTGAAAGTGGGTGGTCTAGACCTCGGACTACAGAGGTTTGGTACAGCAATGGGTTTAGTAGCACTGCCTCCTTTCCCACCGGCGATATGTTAACTACCTCGCTTGGTATGTAGAAGGTTGTTGGTTCGATCCCAAGCCTGACACATGCTGTACATTTGGAGTTTGTGGGTCTCTCTCTCATCATCATCACGGTGGCTAGGATATGTTAATTATCTCGCCCAGTATACAGGAGGACGTGGGTTCGATCTCAACCCTGACGCCTGCTGTATATTTGGAGTTTGTATTTTCTCCCTGTGGTCACGTGGATTTTACTCCGGGTCCTTCGGTTTTTTTCCCTCCATATTTAGAATCAACATGAAATTATAGTATTCGGCTGCTCTTTATTTCCACGCAAGTAGCCACATCCTTGATATAAATTTGTGGCGAGGTCGCTTCTGATAAAGAGCTACATAGCTCAGTGGGGCTTACCTGGAACAATTCGTGTTTTTCGCAAAGTTTTAGTATAGCCCTGTGTGGAACATTAGGAATAGATCACTCCTTTAATTATGTCCTTGTGCAGAAAGGGAGTAAAGTGTGGTTCTGTGAAAGTCCTGATGTGCTGTGCAGTGCATCAATGCATGTGTGTACAGCAGCATGTGGTGACTGAGTCGGGCCTGTAGGTGGCTGGCAGGGTTATTGAATGATCGCGCGTATATACTAGTCACATGGTTAATGGCGACTCGGGAGAAATGCTGTTTGTAACACATGTGCTGTTGCATTTTACAGAGTGACGGTGCTGTTCTTCACAAGATTGCTATTAACCACAATAAATGTGTCTGCCCTCGATTTGGAACACCCACCCACGTCCTTAATTTCGAGTGTGCAACATATTTTGGCGAGCCTGGCAGGAGAGTTTCCCAGAGTTCACTGACGGGGATCAACTCTTCCAATGAGACGGACCAAGCAATTATAAAGGCAGCATATATAAAGATATTCGCACAAGGATATAATTAAAATAGTGATCCATTCCTAATGTGCCACACTTGCAAGCCTATATAACATTCGCTCTGCAAAGTGAACGCCTCTACAAGCACTGAAAGCCGCTGCCAGGTCCTAGACGCACACCTCGCAGCACCATGCCTACAATTTTCAATCCCACGGCGATCTCCAATTAAAAGCATTGACTCAGGCTCAAATGTCTGCTTGGCTTCCCTGTTCTGACACTGGGTGCCTTCAGGGCTATTTGTTTACTTGCTATATATAAAACATCTCCTGCTTGCACCTGAATGGATAAATATAGTCCCACAGACTTGTCCAAAACGAGTTTGGAACAACACACTTTTTTGTCTCTCTTTAACATTAAGTCCATTTTTTTTCCTCTCTCTGTTTCAAATTCCAGTCTTTAAACCAAATTATACCAAGAGGAAAGTTCGGGTTGCAAATGCGTTGTTTTTTGTTTTATAGTCACGGTGGAGCAAATTTTCGTCCGTCCCAGTTAAATCAGCAGGCCCACATAGGAGAGCAGAGAGAGATGGCCGTTTTGTCGCGATGGAAGTGGCTTTGCTCTATAGTTACATTTGGAGCTGGTGTAGAGCTGCCTGTAAGCCGATTACGTACCGATGTAAGGGCTGACTGTAGTTAAGGCAGGTCTGGTGGTACGGCTGGTTGTAGTTGAGGCAGGAGTGATAGTAGAACGGCTTGTAGTTGAGTCAGAACTGGCGGTAGGGCTGGTCGAAGTTAAGGCAGAACCGGTGGAAGAGATGGCTGTAGTGAACGCAGCACTGGTAGTAGAGATGCTTCTAGACATTGAAAAACTGGCACCTCTACGTGACCTGATCATTACTTTAATTGCCGCCTCGCCCCAGCCCACCGAATTATTGACGCGGCAGGAGAATGACGCAGAGCCCGACTCGACCAGCGGGCTTCGGAAGCTAAGAGAGCTCCCCTTCTCAAGGGCGCCACTGGAGATTGAAGCGCCGTCCCTGCAACAAATAATCGCAACAGATAATAACACATCGGTACAAAGCGAGAGGTTCGTAAAATACCCAACCCCGTGATGTGTTAAAACACCATCGTATGTGAAACACTGAAGTTTAAGATTGTTTTTTGTTTTTCAAGTACATTTTGTTTTGATCTCAAGAGGTGAAGGAAGAGTAACAGATTTGGGCGATTTGGGGTACAATGCGTGGCTTGGACTCGAGTGGAAACCATCGCGAACAAGTTGGGTGTGCAGTGCATGCTTATAGGTAGCTGAAGTGCTGTAATTAAATTAGTTAATTTGACATTCAAAAAGGGAGCATTTGCGGCAGTAATCCGGTATAATTTGTGGTTCGCTGAAAGGTGAATTCAAGACACGGTTCTCGGCAGCTGTTGCTCAGTATGTCTTCACGTGGCCATTATAAGCCACCTTCATAAGGTGGGGAGTAGTAGTGTAGCAGTTAGCGCACTACACTACTATTCCCGCTCACGACCACCAACACCGGTGACGATTATCTGAGCAGGTCATGGGGCCTCCCCGAGGTCGACTCAGCCTCAAATGAGTCCGTGGTGTGGTGTGTAAACATCGCCACTGGGGGGATTCAAAGACAGCCGGGCGTGGTGCTGGTCACCCACCCCCTCGTGTGCTGTGCCAGCCTTCATAGGTGCTCGCTAACAGAACTTGCCCCAACAGTCTTTTCAGGCTATATGAGGGATCTTTGTCATTGTTTATTTTCCTTGGAATGGGGTACACCCAGCCCAAGTGCTGGGGTGCAGGTTTTTATAAATGGAAGCGTAGGTGGCTAGCGAAATTAGGCGGTAAGATGCGAACCCTTATGATAAATCCTCGCTTAACGCATTGCTGTTCTCGCGATAAGGCACTTTTTTGCTACAACGTGGTTCCCTCTATCAGGAAAATGTTTTGCACAACGCAGAACGAGCGCCGTTATAACGTGAAACAACAAACTATACACAAAGAGCATTTCTAAATAATTAAGTTTGTCACTTTCGATTATTTAAAAGTGCCATAGCTCATAGTGGCTTCCTAATATCGGAAGTAATAGCGTCACAGACAGCCACACAAGCACACCTAAAAGCACGCGACGTGGTGACCGTCTTTGTTCGATGGTGAGGCAAAAGCCACTGCTACGATGTTGACCAGAGTTCGTGTGATAGTTTATTTTCCTAGACGATATTAGCAAGGTATTGTGGTTCCTTTGTGGTAAGCTCTTTGTGTGTAATGAGTGCGACCCTATTATCATGTATTCGTTCAGTAGCCAGAAGCCAATCTTGCATTAAATTATAGCAACAAAAAGAACGTAGCAAAAGAGCCGTTCCAGACGGCCGCAGAAGCGTATATGAAAGCACCGTGCGATGCCAGTGCCTTAACCCGCCAAATTTGTATCGTTATATTATTTAGGGGGAAAATCGTTTTTTTCCGTTTAACGCGCAACTTTGAGGAAACACGTCTAAACGATAATTCGCTGTACCTGCTCCACAAGTAGTGCGTCGCATGAGGGTTGGCGTCCACTCGGCAGGTGAGCAGAGTTCCTCGTCTCCCCAGATCCCGATCGCCGTCGTATTCTACGACAGTCACTCTCGGTTTATCTACAGATAAGAAAGGGGGACGGGCGCTGATTCAGTCGGGAGAGCTCCTTCAAACGCCGCTAAAGGCTCAGTCTTCTCTTTTTTTTTCTGGGTTACACGGAGTAGCCTTGATATGTACTTCCATCATCCTCCTATTTCTACTGGAGGAATCTGATGAGCTATAAAGCTCTTTTTCACAGATGTTCAGTAGGGGCAGGTAAGAACGTTACAACAACAAACAGTACAATAACATGATAGTAGTACAAAATACAAGAAAGGTAAAGAAATAACCGAAACACGTACAAATGAAACTAACCATCCCCATCCTACCAGATAAGGCCCACTGAGCTATGTAGCTCTTTTTCAGAAGCGACCTGGTTATCACAAATTATATCTGATAAAGTGGCTTATCATCACGTGGACATTTATAGCAGCCAAATACTCTAAATGTGTGACATTGATTCTAAATGTGTAGGGAAAAACCGGAGGACCCGGAGAATAATCCATGTGATGATGGAGAGAGAGACCCGCTAACTCAAAAAATATACTGGCATTGTCAGGGTCAGAATTGGACCCACGACCTCCTATATACCGGGTGAAGTAGTTAACATCTCACCACCGTGGCACCCTTATCTTATGAGATGGTGCGATTAGGTCATTATAAGTTTTTATCCCCCCCTCCCCCTTATTTGTGGATATTCTCCAGTCGGTTGTATTTTCAAATTAACTTTTAATAACCTATTGTTTAAAAAAAATCCACAATTTGATTCCAGTTTGTTCCATCACCATCATGTTGTGTAAACAAAATGTCCATTTGGAACTCTAAAGAGAGCGGTGAGTGCATCCACCAATTATCGGTGAAGGGCTCGAGAACGTTGAGATTGCAGGATAACTTTTTTGAGATTCAATGGACCAATTTTTTTCTTGGTTTAAATATACCCACTCACATGCCCCCACAGCCCCTGTCATGGACGGTTCACCGAGTGTGAAGACAAAGACGTGGGCCCTGCTACTGACGACCCCTACAACACAAACGGGCCTGTGCTTGGACTCGCAAAGTCCGGCTGCAAATTTTCACTATTGGGAAACGTAACGCCAGCACGGTCCGACTAGTTACAGCAGAGCACCGCAAAGTGCCACAAAACTATCACAGACTGTTGCAAATTTTCCATGAACTTTCACCGATTTGATATTACATACAATTATATTTTGGGGATTTATATATATAAATTCACGGTGCTCCACTCACAGTGGACATCGAGGATGGTGGACTTAACAACCGGGATCTCCAGGGCCGGGTGCTCCACCTTGCAGGTGAGCGTCCGCCCGTGGCTGTCGCGCGTGGGCTCCATCCGGTACTCGCTCCTCACTGTCACCGTGCCATCGGGCTCCATCTCTGTGGTCTCGTAGGAGCTGCCCTGATGATGATCGAGGCCGCTCCAGGTGACGGAGGCTGCGGGTTGTCCTCCCAGAGCGACGCACGTGGCCACGGTCACCTCCGCCCTGCCCTCGACCAGCTGGGATGGGTTCGACTCCAGAGAGGCGTTCGGGGGAACTGGGGCATGGAGGTCAATAAAATGCGGTGACTTTGTGGATGTCAATATCGGGATGCCTCCTTTTTATCATCATAGGAATGTAGAGTTTTAATTTGTGGCTCAGGGTTATTAACGTGAGCACAATCACCATTATCACCTGTTATATTTACGTAATAAAATATTACCCGTTTTATAATTATGCCCTATTCATATCACTATAATAACGCCTTCATATCGTCATCCTCAATGAAAAGTCATCGGCGTCTGCTTCTGAATGAAGGTCTCCCCTAGGCTCTCACCATTCCCAACGGATTTTTTAAATCACAAAACGATCCATCTAGTGCCTGCACGCGAGCTGATGCCCACTGCTCCATCTCCGTGGTGGGTAGGGTTCAACTCCAGGTAGACGTTCGCAGGGGGAACTTGGGGGCATGGAAGGGAAGGATGACACTTTTGCAAATCATCGACATAGTATTTTGGCTCCTGCCGTGGGAACTAGAGTTTGAATTGCCAGTTGAGCGTCGCCAACAAAGAATAATAACCTCTTGATGGGTGAGGCTGAAAGTGGGTTCACACGAGATTACTGAACCTATGGGATTTTTTTGTTTTAAACACAAGGCCCACATGAGTCTCACCTCGACATCATCAAGCCTCCACCCGTGCGTCTGAAGTCCCCACACCCAGTGGTGGTGGGCATTACCGCAGCCCAAAGACCCCCGAGTACGCGGGATACCCGCAACTGCCTCGGTACGAGGAATTGAGATGCGTGGATGTGAGCAACCAGGACTTCATCAGTGATCCGCCTTTCCAGGTCCCTGGCTTCGATCTCCCAAGGCGCCAGTGGACTCAGTTGAACCACTTCCGGTGTGATCAGGATGTTGTGTGGGTGTGCCCCGCTTCCGAACATCAATGGGGCATCGTACTACGACGCGACGACCCTGCTGTGTGAATGCGGGCAGCCAGGAGAGCAATGGCACACCATCGTCTCCAGCTGGGAAGTCCGTTAGGGCGTGCCATGGACTGGTTGTTGTTGTGGTTGTCACATGGCTCTGTGGCTACGTGATGCTGACGTCTGCGCTCACACAATATATAACCTTGGCAAGCACATTTATTTATCGTTCTTTCAAATCTGGCGCTCGAACTGTACGGCAGTCACGTGTAAAAGGATTCGCTAAATAAAACTTAGGCCTCACTCGGGTGACATCATGGGGGCGTAAGATTACCGCACTGCTATATTCGCCGCGGGAATGTTTAGACTGTTAAATAACGGTCGATCCAATTAACGATCGGGGTGATGGTGGAGCAAAAAGGAGGTGAAGCAAAGAGCCAAAACTAAACTATTTTGTATTTTACCAGGTAAGCCTGATTGAGCTGTGTAGCTCTTTTTTGAAGCGACCTGTCCATGAGGTGGCTTATCATCACGTGAACATGTATAGCAGCCAAATACTCTTAACGCATGATATTAATTATAAATTTCGAGGGAAAACCCAGAGGACCCAGAGAAAAATATACGTGAGCACAGGGAGAACATGTAAACAGGCGTCAGGTTCGGGATCAAACCCATGGCCTCTTTTATACCAGGCAAGGTAGTTAATATCTCACCACCATGGTGCTCTGAAGCAGTTGCTACAAGCCATGTGGGGGCCTACCGGTCAGTGACCCCAACGTTACGGTAAAACTCGGCTGTGGTGTTGTAAACACCATCACTGGCCACGCAATATTAGCATGTCCTGGAAGACATTGTCACATGTACAGACATGGTGTCGCATGGCGCTGTAATGTCATACTGGGCGTGTAAAGGTCATGCAGGGGGCATTCTGAGGCTAGGTGGTGGACACGGGACGACATGTAAAAGAATTAAAGATGGTGGTAACAAAAGGCGTGAAAAATAGATTGGGGATTGGAGAAAACCCAGAGAAGATATATTAGGCAGGAAACAAGGAAGAGGCGCTGAGAGAGACTTGTGGAAGGTCCCATAATGCAGGGAGTTATAAGGTAGATGACGAGGTGAATGTCGGGAGCTTGGAGGATTCGGGAAAAGTGGCTGAAGAGAGAACTTGCTTACAGGGGTGTGCGTTACGGTGCATTACCGAGCACGTGTTACCAAGCATGCGTCAGCGAGTGCCCGTTCCCAAGCACCTGTTAGTGAGTGCGCATTAGCGTGTGCGCATTACTAGTATTTGACCTCGCAACCTTCTGATTGTATAAACATAAAATGTAGTGGCTCACCATTCACAGAGAGGCGGACTTTTGCCGAAGAGTGGCCTCCATTATCAAGAGTGCCAAAGTTGCAGACAAAGTTTGCAGCGTCCTCTAGACGCAGGTCTTCGATGCGGATGGATGCGTTTCTCAGTTCTGAGTCGAGATTCGTGAAGCGCAACCGGCTCGAGAGGTCAGGATCGAAGCCAACCGCGTAACCTGCAGGAATGGCCACCGCGATTGTCACTGGCGAGCCTCCGTTTACTTTCTGCCACGTTATTCTGGAGGGCCGTTCCGACCCCATGTACGCACATCTCAGGGTGACCTCTTGACCCGTATTGCTGCTCACGAACCGATCCACCTCCACTTGGGCAGCTCCCAAGGTCATCAGACCTACACGGGAGGGATAACCGATAAAAGTTAGAATACTCCAGCTTCTCAAAACACATTTACCTCACGATAAAGGATGCCACGTAAATTATGTTTTACCCCCAATCTATATTTTTCTCATTGCTTTATTTTAGAATGTTACGTGCGCATCTTACACGTTAAAGCAACTGCCAAGTCTGTATTTGTCAAATGCATCCAGGCATCCAGCTGAGAGAGGCTGTCCAATACGATGCCAGATCTGGTACCCAACAGTCAACCGTAAATGGCCGAGCCACAGGGGGGCCATGATCGGCGAACTTTATCTCCCTTAAATTTGGCGAGAAACATCAAAAAACTACAGAGGCTAAACCCGCAAAAGGGTTGAGGGCTTTGCTGTATTGTAGTGCCTATGGCAAGTGTATTTCATTATTTAAAGCTTTCGTGACTGCAGGGATTCATATTATTGGTTCTTTCGGTAAAGTCACGTAGAAGGGAAATAATAAAATAAAATTAAATCTTATTTTTTATTGTTTAATATTTATATTATTTTATTATTTCCCTTCTACGTGACTTTACCGAAAGAACCAATAATATAAGTGTATTTTTTTCTTTAAAATATTTTTATTCCACATCCTCCCTCAGATCACTAAATTTTAACATCCTGACGTTCCAGGCGGTATCTACTAGGGTCACGTTTTAAACATTTTAATAAAAAGTAAACCCGCAAGGATGAGGTGGCTGCATGCTCTTTTAAGTGCGTCTATTGGACCGCAGTTTTTTGGCCACCACCAGGGACATGCTTTGCTTAGTCCTCTTTGAGTTCACTGCAAAGAAAGGATTTGAGGAAACCAACGTCTTGACCATATCAACTGACCTAATTACTGGTTAAATTCTCACGTTTTAACTATATGGTTGTGAGAAAGGGGGAAGGGGTCTTTACGTTGACTTTCATGTCAAAGCTGACCCTGGGGGTGCCACGGTGGCTAGGAGATGATAACCACCTCGCCTGGTCTACAGGAGGTCGTAGGTTCGATCCCGACCCTGACGCCTTCTGTATATTTGGAGTTTGCATGAATCTCTCCCCATGGTAATATTGATTCTTCTCCGGATTTTCCGGTTTTTCCCTCCACATTGAGAATCTACATCACTCGTTCAGAGTATTTGGCTGCTATACATTTATACGTGATCATGATAATCTACTTCGTTGAGTTATCATTTGTGATGGCCAGGTCACTTTTGAAAAAGAGATAAACGGCTCAGTGGGCCTTACCTGGTCAAGTAAAATAAAAAATTCAACATCATGGGACCTCCTTTGCCAGTACCAAAATATGGCAACAAAACTGACACATTTTGCAAGGAATCATGTTTACATTAACCACAATGGTGTTCGACCAGATGACGCCAAAAGGCTCTAAAGAAAGCTGTCTCTGGTGTGGACCAATCAGTTTCAAGGACAATGCATAAATTATCAGAGTATTGTTTTTTGTTTGCATTTGACTGCAAGTATTATGGTAAATGTAAACATGATTCCTTGCAAAAGGTGTCAGTTTTGTTGCCAGAAAAAGGGGAAAACCCCTATTAGAAAAAAATAAACAGATTAATAGTTTTAATACATCTGGCTCTTCATGCCAGCAGCTCTCCCGCTTGCGAATCAATCTACATAGAATGTGTTGCATTACTCGACCATAAAACATCGAAGTGCGGACACTGCCTGCAACTATTACTGCTGCTGGTGGTGACCACAGGAGCTCGAACCTGGGATTTGTGGCTAGACAACACGTGGCTGGCGTGGCACCGACCCAATGTCCTACTGGACATCTTTGGCAAAAGGGGTTCATAGCTTAATCGGATTTCCTCCAGTCATTAAATTTAAGGTTTTGATTCTGAAAATTCGATTGTTACCGCACTCACACGTATTGTTACGCTCTCAACAGGTGCTTCTTGCAAAACTATTTCCCCAGAAAGCTTGCGCATGTTGAAAATGTAGATGCTTGTGCGTGCATGTGTGTGTGGTAATAATAAAACTCACCAAATAGTAGTACTGTGGGAATTTGAAGTTTCCAAAAGTCCATTTCATTTGAGCCCTATTTCCTCTTGACAGCGCGAAATTAGTATTTAGTATTAAAGAATGGTATCAAAAAGTACTGGACCAATTTCTAAAAAAATCTTAAACCCGAATTACAACTCCGAGCCTCTTCAAACCTCTTCTGTAGTCTTGACTTGAATTTCTGTATTTTACAAACCAAGCCAGAACCAATCATGTCCTTTTAAACTGTAACTTCCTTATGACTTACTCCACTGGGGCGGGGGCTTCGGTAGTTAAAATACGAATACATTACTTATCTCTTTTAACTTGCATAAGGCAAGCTATTGTCAATTGCTCAAATATATAAGGTCACAGGAATGCACTTACAGTCGGTAGTCGATCAATGACCTGCCGTACATATTTACGACCCAGGTGTAGTAAAAAAATAAAATCTGAAAAAAAAGTACAGGGCATGGAATGGTCCAGTGTTAGACACGCGATGAATGTTGAGTTTTTTTATGGCAGGCCCTACTTCGTTGTACGAGGCCAGTCCCAACTATTTAAAAACAATTTCAATGTTCGTACGTTTTTTCAAGCTTGTGAAGTTTTAGAAGAGTTTTGTATTACATGTTTTATTATAGAAAAAAATTAACAAAAGTTTTCTTATACCAGGTGTAAGGCCTCGCTGAGTTTCTATACAGCTCTTTTTTTCAGAAGCGACCTAGCTATCACAACTGATAGCACAACAAAGTGGCGTATCATCATCACGTTGAAATTTATAGAGAACCCAATACTCTCAAATGTGTGAGGTTGATTCTAAATGTGCAGGGGAAAACTGGAGGACCCAGAGAATGATCCACACGATCACGGGGAAAGAGATAGAGAGACACCGCAAACTCCAAATATACAGCAGGCGTCACGGTCGGGATCGAACCCATGACCTCATGTATACCAGGCGATGGAGTTAACATCTCATATCCACCATGGCACCCCATGTATAAACTATAAGGTCTTCCAGTGCGATGCTTGCCAACAGCCTTTTAAAGAGGCGAGCGTTGGATACCGGTGTTCCGACTTTTTTAGTCTCCATCAGCTTCGTTGCTACGTGATCTTGGCACTGTCCCTTTTTTGAATATTTATTTATTATTGCTGCAATGTGCGGGCCCCAGGCATCGCGTTGTGATGCACGTACACACATACACCGTCAAAGATGGGGAACGGGTTCGCTGCCCCAAACCATACAAATGGGTCTCACCGAAGGGGTTAAGGGTAACTTTTTTAATAAGGGGGAAGCGATGATGTTTACGTCGTTTATTGTGAAAATTCGGTCACAGTTCCTATGACCACTGTTTCAATGCTTTTATGGCTTTATTTTGGTGATTTTCGATCAGTTTTTTGGTTTGGCCATGTTTGTTTGTTGTAGTACAGAGTTAGACTGATGGCCTTAATCTAAGTTGTCTTGTGGTTGTTGTTGTTTGACTTGCATCCCACTGGGATTTTTGCACATTTTTGTGTACGGTGCTTTTTCTGCAATATTTTACTGTCTTTTCTTGGATTTTCTGTTTGCACTCAGTCACATATTCACTTTAAGATTTTTTTTTGTTCATGTTTTTGTTTTTTGTTTGTTGCGGTTACACCCGATTCAAGAGCCGAATGGCTCACAGGGCTATACCTAATAAATTAACTTGAACTTGATGATGAGGGGAGAGAGGGATATAACCAAAACAACAGCTGATATAAAGAAAAGAAAAAAACATTAAGAGGCGACCTGAACGAGTATTGTTTCTTTCCACCCCTCCGAGTCCAGCTCCCGTTTAATCTGCAGTGGTTGTACCCCTTATCCTTGGTCCCTGTCTCCGGACCCCCTTCCAGCCTGCTGACTTATTCCAGGTGTTGTATAAGGGAGGAGTACTATCTCTTCTTTAAAATTTCTGGTGCCTTGTGCCATGTGGCTGATGAGGAAGCACACGTTGCCTGGAGAGCCAACGGGTGCTGGAGGCAAAAACAGTGTAAAACAATTACAAATGGGTTGGCAATTTACTTGCTGTACTGCCACGTATTAGTTATCCAGGTTTGTGGCCGCACGTGCATGGTCATCTCTTTGACACTCTTGATAATGGAGGATACTCTTCGGCAAAAGTCCGCCTCTCTGTGAATGGTGAGCCACTACATTTTATGTTTATACAATCAGAAGGTTGCGAGGTCAAATACTAGTAACGCGCACATGCTAATGCGCGCTCACTAACAGGCGCTCGGGAATGGGCACTCGCTGACGCATGCTTGGTAAGGAATTCATATATATTTTTGGTTCTTTCGGTAAAGTCACGTAGAAGGGAAGTAATAAAATAATAAAAATAAAACATAATAAAATAATTCTCACGACGTTTCGGCCACAACGCAAGCAGCCGTCCTCAGGTGGAGAACAGGTCCGTCAAGTAGACAGAGTCTGACTCTGTCCGTCAAGTAGGACGGACCTGTTCTCCACCTGAGGACGGCTGCTTGCGTTGTGGCCGAAACGTCGTGAGAATTATTTTATTATGTTTTATTTTTATTATTTTATTATTTCCCTTCTACGTGACTTTACCGAAAGAACCAAGAAGATGAATCCCTGCAGTCACGAAAGCTTTAAATCGGAATTCATATATATTACCAGAGAGTGAAACTGCATCAACCCTCCTAATACCCACTCTTCCTATTATCCAGCCACAATCTGACCTGCTGATATTCCTATTTTCTACGTGACCATTCTTAAACCCCCGAGTGAAATAATAAAAATAAAACAATACAATTATCACGACGTTTCGATTGCAAAACAAGCAATCATCGTCAGGTGTGAAAGCACAGCAAGAAAAAATCGCCACTTTTTCAAAAAAATTCTTGCCGTGGTTTTCACACCTGATGATGATTGCTTGTGTTGCAATCGAAACGTCGTGAGAATTTTGTTTTATTTTTATTATTTTATTATTTCCCTTCTACGTAACTTTACCGAAAGAACCAATAATATGAATCCCTGCAGTCACGAGAGCTTTAAATCGAAATTTAAAACCCCGAGTGGTTTCCGATTCATCCTATTCTCGTTTACCCACGCTTCTTCGCTCAAAAAAGAGGGAAATGTAAGAATAAATGCAATTTAATGGTATATTCTCAAAGCACCCCTGTGTCAGTGTGGATATAACAAACAAAAAAAATCAGTCTTCATACCCAGTGACCATTAAATCATGATCACATTCGTCCATCCTCAACAAGACCAAATCACGGTCGACTTGCCACATGTCACGCCAGTGTGTAACGTGTGACTCCTGCCAGTCACACCTTCGCCAACCCATAGCAACAACAACACCACCACTAGGCTCTGTCACGTGACCTTGCTCCCAGTAAACCCTCCCCCACGCCACGTGACGGGCCTCAATGTGCACATTTCGGCCGCCGTGGTGAAGTCGCTGGCCACTTTTGCAATGAATGGTGGCCGTTGTTGTTCCATGCTTACCCCTTGGGAGTTGGGGGGGGGGTGCAGAAGGGAGCATCAAGAACAACAAGAGTACTGCAGAGACCCAGAGGCTTCAGTTGGCGTGGACAACGATTGCAATACAAAGAACCAAACCAAACTTGACTTAATTGGTTGTCGGCTGGTGTCGGGATTTATATTTATGCAATCTAACCCAAAAACAACTCTTGTGGATAAGATTGGTCGCAAAAGCTAAACTAACCAAACCAACTTTCAGGCAACAGGCAGTCACAAACAATACAAATACATGATCAGGTCTTCTTTATGTTGTTTGGAAATAGCAACATTGTTTCAAGGGTTGATGGGATTTTTTAAAATATATATTTGAACTCAAAAACGACATTTTTACGTATTAAAACTTTTGTCTATCCAGCCCGAAAGTGAATATTAAGGAGACCGTCTGTCCAATGGTTTATGTTGTAGTCCATTTATTTAAAGTTTGCCACAGTCGTGGGGCAGATCGCCATTAAATCGCCACTTGCGCTGTAACAGGACATAACGAATACTTGCATGTGGCGGATCGAGCAGTAGTCAATCAAGCTGTGACATTTTTTAATACATGTGTATATGTGTTCGAGCATGGATCGAGCATGGATCGAACTATGACATTTTGAATACTTGCATCGATGGGATTGAGCAGAAGTTAATCAAGCTGTGACATGTTTAATACATGTGTATATGTGTTCGAGCATGGATCAAGCATTGATAGAACTATGACATTTTGAATACTTGCATCGATGGGATTGAGCAGTAGTCAATCAAGCTGTGACATTTTTTAATACATGTGTATATGTGTTCGAGCATTGATCGAGCATGGATCGAGCTATGACATTTTGAATACTTGCATCGATGTGATTGAGCAGTAAGCAATGGAGCTGTGACATTTTGAATACATGCATATGTAGCCGGTGTAGGCTCGCCTGTGATTAATCGCACGTATAATTGTGCACTTTGTAGCATATGGGAACCTACGAAGCTATTTTGCATAGCTACGTGTAGCCAGGTGCGGTATATTATTATTTTTTATTATAAATAAATGCAATGTGATGAGGGATGTGGACCCTGAGCCACACGTGGACAGCAAGAGTACGGGACATGTCCCTAATTTATATTTTAGTGGAATTAGTGCCTCGTAAGCTGCACGTTACATTAGCGCTAATAATATATAGCTGTTAAATTGATAGTACTTGAATGTCAATCGACTGACAGGAACTCGGTGATGTTAATTGACTCTTGATTGAGTTGTTGGTGGTATTGAATATATGCACAATTAAGACTTGGATATTAAAGTTGATTTCAAAAACGGCGGATAATAACTCAATTATTATTTAAAGTAGCTTATTTTTCACATTATTGCATTAAATTATGTTTTAAGGTGTTGTGTCTATGCTTTTTTTATGTGTTTACTATGTGAAATTGGTATAAATAAACATACAAATAGACAAAAATAAATATCCTACTTTTAAAAGTTACTGTATTTACTGTACCCTACTTACCACTCCAATCTCGAAGACTCTGCATGCCGTGATGTACATGCAGCATTTTCATTGTTTAACTTGTTTGTATGTAGTGTATCATATACTGTATATAATATTTGACACTGAAATCAAACGTAGATACTTTTTTTTATCCTTTATATTAAGTTTGCTTGCTTGCTTAGGACCGTGCAAATCTTTCGGTCGTTTTTTAACCCACTTCCCGTGATCCAATCGAGCTGACAT